GCAGGGAGAGGAGGCAGGGGGAGGAGGCAGGGGGAGGAGGCAGGGGGAGGAGGCAGGGGGAGGAGGCAGGGGGAGGAGGCAGGGGGAGGAGGCAGGGGAAGGAGGCAGGGAGGAGGCAGGGGGAGAAGGCAGGGGGAGGCAGGGGGAGGCAGGGGGAGGCAGGGGGAGGCAGGGGGAGGAGGCAGGGGGAGGCAGGGAGGAGGCAGGGGGAGGCAGGGGGAGGCAGGGGGAGGCAGGGGGAGGAGGCAGGGGGAGGAGGCAGGGGGAGGAGGCAGGGGGTGGAGGCAGGGGGAGGCAGGGGGAGGAGGCAGGGGGAGGCAGGGGGAGGAGGCAGGGGGAGGCAGGGGGAGGAGGCAGGGGGAGGAGGCAGGGGAAGGAGGCAGGGAGGAGGCAGGGGGAGAAGGCAGGGGGAGGCAGGGGGAGGCAGGGGGAGGAGGCAGGGGGAGGAGGCAGGGGGAGGAGGCAGGGGGAGGAGGCAGGGGGAGGCAGGGGGAGGAGGCAGGGGGAGGCAGGGGGAGGAGGCAGGGGGAGGCAGGGGGAGAAGGCAGGGGGAGGCAGGGGGAGGAGGCAGGGGGAGGCAGGGGGAGGCAGGGGGAGGAGGCAGGGGGAGGAGGCAGGGGGAGGAGGCAGGGGGAGGAGGCAGGGGGAGGCAGGGGGAGGAGGCAGGGGGAGGCAGGGGGAGGAGGCAGGGGGAGGCAGGGGGAGAAGGCAGGGGGAGGCAGGGGGAGGCAGGGGGAGGCAGGGGGAGGAGGCAGGGGGAGGAGGCAGGGGGAGGAGGCAGGGGAAGGAGGCAGGGAGGAGGCAGGGGGAGAAGGCAGGGGGAGGCAGGGGGAGGCAGGGGGAGGAGGCAGGGGGAGGAGGCAGGGGGAGGAGGCAGGGGGAGGAGGCAGGGGGAGGCAGGGGGAGGAGGCAGGGGGAGGCAGGGGGAGGAGGCAGGGGGAGGCAGGGGGAGGAGGCAGGGGGAGGAGGCAGGGGAAGGAGGCAGGGAGGAGGCAGGGGGAGAAGGCAGGGGGAGGCAGGGGGAGGCAGGGGGAGGAGGCAGGGGGAGGAGGCAGGGGGAGGAGGCAGGGGGAGGAGGCAGGGGGAGGCAGGGGGAGGAGGCAGGGGGAGGCAGGGGGAGGAGGCAGGGGGAGGCAGGGGGAGGAGGCAGGGGGAGGAGGCAGGGGGAGGAGGCAGGGGAAGGAGGCAGGGAGGAGGCAGGGGGAGAAGGCAGGGGGAGGAGGCAGGGGGAGGCAGGGGGAGGAGGCAGGGGGAGGCAGGGGGAGGAGGCAGGGGGAGGAGGCAGGGGAAGGAGGCAGGGAGGAGGCAGGGGGAGGAGGCAGGGGGAGGAGGCAGGGGGAGAAGGCAGGGGGAGGCAGGGGGAGGAGGCAGGAGGAGGAGGCAGGGGGAGGAGGCAGGGGGAGGAGGCAGGGGGAGAAGGCAGGGGGAGGAGGCAGGGGGAGGCAGGGGGAGGAGGCAGGGGGAGGCAGGGGGAGGAGGCAGGGGGAGGAGGCAGGGGGAGGAGGCAGGGGGAGGCAGGGGGAGGAGGCAGGGGGAGGCAGGGGGAGGAGGCAGGGGGAGAAGGCAGGGGGAGGCAGGGGGAGGAGGCAGGGGGAGGCAGGGGGAGGCAGGGGGAGGCAGGGGGAGGAGGCAGGGGGAGGCAGGGGGAGGAGGCAGGGGGAGGAGGCAGGGGGAGGAGGCAGGGGGAGGAGGCAGGGGGAGGAGGCAGGGGGAGGAGGCAGGGGGAGGAGGCAGGGGGAGGAGGCAGGGGGAGGAGGCAGGGGGAGGCAGGGGGAGGCAGGGGGAGGCAGGGGGAGGAGGCAGGGGGAGGCAGGGGGAGGAGGCAGGGGGAGGCAGGGGGAGGAGGCAGGAGGAGGAGGCAGGGGGAGGAGGCAGGGGGAGGAGGCAGGGGGAGGAGGCAGGGGGAGGAGGCAGGGGGAGGAGGCAGGGGGAGGAGGCAGGGGGAGGAGGCAGGGGGAGGAGGCAGGGGGAGGAGGCAGGGGGAGGCAGGGGGAGGAGGCAGGGGGAGGCAGGGGGAGGAGGCAGGGGGAGGCAGGGGGAGGAGGCAGGGGGAGGAGGCAGGGGAAGGAGGCAGGGAGGAGGCAGGGGGAGGAGGCAGGGGGAGGAGGCAGGGGGAGAAGGCAGGGGGAGGCAGGGGGAGGAGGCAGGAGGAGGAGGCAGGGGGAGGAGGCAGGGGGAGGAGGCAGGGGGAGAAGGCAGGGGGAGGCAGGGGGAGGAGGCAGGAGGAGGAGGCAGGGGGAGGAGGCAGGGGGAGGAGGCAGGGGGAGAAGGCAGGGGGAGGCAGGGGGAGGCAGGGGGAGGCAGGGGGAGGAGGCAGGGGGAGGCAGGGGGAGGAGGCAGGAGGAGGAGGCAGGGGGAGGAGGCAGGGGGAGGAGGCAGGGGGAGGAGGCAGGGGGAGGAGGCAGGGAGAGGAGGCAGGGGGAGGAGGCAGGGAGAGGAGGCAGGGAGAGGAGGCAGGGGGAGGAGGCAGGGGGAGGCAGGGGGAGGCAGGGGGAGGCAGGGGGAGGAGGCAGGGGGAGGCAGGGGGAGGAGGCAGGGGGAGGCAGGGGGAGGAGGCAGGAGGAGGAGGCAGGGGGAGGAGGCAGGGGGAGGAGGCAGGGGGAGGAGGCAGGGGGAGGAGGCAGGGAGGAGGCAGGGGGAGAAGGCAGGGGAAGGAGGCAGGGAGGAGGCAGGGGGAGGAGGCAGGGGAAGGAGGCAGGGGGAGGCAGGGGGAGGCAGGGGGAGGCAGGGGGAGGAGGCAGGGGGAGGCAGGGGGAGGAGGCAGGAGGAGGCAGGGGGAGGAGGCAGGGGGAGGCAGGGGGAGGAGGCAGGGGGAGGAGGCAGGGGGAGGAGGCAGGGGGAGGAGGCAGGGGGAGGAGGCAGGGAGAGGAGGCAGGGGGAGGAGGCAGGGGGAGGCAGGGGGAGGAGGCAGGGGGAGGCAGGGGGAGGAGGCAGGGGGAGGAGGCAGGGGGAGGCAGGGGGAGGCAGGGAGGAGTCAGGGGGAGGCAGGGGGAGGCAGGGAGGAGGCAGGGGGAGGAGGCAGGGGGAGGAGGCAGGGGGAGGCAGGGGGAGGAGGCAGGGGGAGGCAGGGGGAGGCAGGGGGAGGAGGCAGGGGGAGGAGGCAGGAGGAGGCAGGGGGAGGAGGCAGGGGGAGGCAGGGGGAGGAGGCAGGGGGAGGCAGGGGGAGGAGGCAGGGGGAGGCAGGGGGAGGCAGGGGGAGGAGGCAGGGGGAGGAGGCAGGAGGAGGCAGGGGGAGGAGGCAGGGGGAGGCAGGGGGAGGAGGCAGGGGGAGGAGGCAGGGGGAGGAGGCAGGGGGAGGAGGCAGGGGGAGGAGGCAGGGGGAGGAGGCAGGGAGAGGAGGCAGGGGGAGGAGGCAGGGGGAGGCAGGGGGAGGAGGCAGGGGGAGGCAGGGGGAGGAGGCAGGGGGAGGAGGCAGGGGGAGGCAGGGGGAGGCAGGGAGGAGTCAGGGGGAGGCAGGGGGAGGCAGGGAGGAGGCAGGGGGAGGAGGCAGGGGGAGGAGGCAGGGGGAGGCAGGGGGAGGCAGGGGGAGGAGGCAGGGGGAGGAGGCAGGGGGAGGCAGGGGGAGGCAGGGAGGAGGCAGGGGGAGGCAGGGGGAGGAGGCAGGGGGAGGCAGGGGGAGGAGGCAGGGGGAGGAGGCAGGGGGAGGAGGCAGGGGGAGGAGGCAGGGGGAGGAGGCAGGGGGAGGAGGCAGGGGAAGGAGGCAGGGAGGAGGCAGGGGGAGGAGGCAGGGGGAGGCAGGGGGAGGAGGCAGGGGGAGGAGGCAGGGGGAGGAGGCAGGGGGAGGCAGGGGGAGGCAGGGGGAGGCAGGGGGAGGAGGCAGGGGAAGGAGGCAGGGAGGAGGCAGGGGGAGAAGGCAGGGGGAGGCAGGGGGAGGCAGGGGGAGGAGGCAGGGGGAGGCAGGGGGAGGAGGCAGGGGGAGGCAGGGGGAGGCAGGGGGAGGCAGGGAGGAGGCAGGGGGAGGAGGCAGGGGGAGGAGGCCAGGGGAGGCAGGGGGAGGAGGCAGGGGGAGGCAGGGGGAGGAGGCAGGGGGAGGAGGCAGGGGGAGGAGGCAGGGGGAGGAGGCAGGGGGAGGAGGCAGGGGAAGGAGGCAGGGAGGAGGCAGGGGGAGGAGGCAGGGGGAGGCAGGGGGAGGCAGGGGGAGGAGGCAGGGGGAGGCAGGGGGAGGAGGCAGGGGGAGGCAGGGGGAGGAGGCAGGAGGAGGAGGCAGGGGGAGGAGGCAGGGGGAGGAGGCAGGGGGAGGAGGCAGGGGGAGGAGGCAGGGAGAGGAGGCAGGGGGAGGAGGCAGGGGGAGGCAGGGGGAGGAGGCAGGGGGAGGCAGGGGGAGGAGGCAGGGGGAGGAGTCAGGGGGAGGCAGGGGGAGGCAGGGAGGAGGCAGGGGGAGGAGGCAGGGGGAGGAGGCAGGGGGAGGCAGGGGGAGGAGGCAGGGGGAGGCAGGGGGAGGCAGGGGGAGGAGGCAGGGGGAGGAGGCAGGGGGAGGAGGCAGGGGGAGGCAGGGGGAGGCAGGGGGAGGAGGCAGGGGGAGGAGGCAGGGAGAGGAGGCAGGGGGAGGAGGCAGGGGGAGGAGGCAGGGGGAGGAGGCAGGGGGAGGAGGCAGGGGGAGGAGGCAGGGGGAGGAGGCAGGGGGAGGCAGGGGGAGGAGGCAGGGGGAGGAGGCAGGGGGAGGAGGCAGGGGGAGGAGGCAGGGGGAGGAGGCAGGGGGAGGCAGGGGGAGGAGGCAGGGGGAGGAGGCAGGGGGAGGAGGCAGGGGGAGGCAGGGGGAGGAGGCAGGGGGAGGAGGCAGGGGGAGGAGGCAGGGGGAGGCAGGGGGAGGAGGCAGGGGGAGGAGGCAGGGGGAGGAGGCAGGGGGAGGCAGGGGGAGGAGGCAGGGGGAGGCAGGGGGAGGCAGGGGGAGGCAGGGGGAGGCAGGGGGAGGCAGGGGGAGGCAGGGGGAGGCAGGGGGAGGCAGGGGGAGGCCGGCTGAATCCAGGCCCAGCCCCCAGGACGTGATCAGCCCTGAGCTGATGCCGCTAAGCCAAGGCCGGGCCGGGCCCATAGAGGAGCCAGAGCCCACCGCAGCCCCGAGGCCTGTCCACAGACAGACCCACCGCAGCCCCGAGGCCTGTCCACAGACAGACCCACCGCGGCCCCGAGGCCTCTCCACAGACAGACCCACCGCGGCCCCGAGGCCTCTCCACAGACCCACCGCGGCCCCGAGGCCTGTCCACAGACAGACCCACCGCGGCCCCGAGGCCTCTCCACGGACCCACCGCGGCCCCGAGGCCTCTCCACGGACCCACCGCGGCCCCGAGGCCTCTCCACGGACCCCGCCGTCCACCCGCGCCGGGCAGGGGCGGAGGCGCCGGCCGGCGAGGTCTCCTTCTCCTCAGACGGCGGCGGGAGCCCAGTCTGGGCACAGCTTGGGAGCCGAAGCCAAACGGGGCCCGGCACGCGTGAGGCCCGGGTTCAACGCCGAGAACCGCGCGCGCGCGCACCTGACACGCGGTCCCGCGCTGCTCCCCCCGGGCCGCCGAGCTCCGGGCCGCCGAGCTCCGGGCCGCCGAGCTCCGGGCCGCCGGCGCAGGGCGCCGAGCTCCGGGCCGCCGGCGGAGGGCGCTGAGCTCCGGGCCGCCGAGCTCCGGGCCGCCGGCGGAGGGCGCCGAGCTCCGGGCCGCCGGCGGAGGGCGCTGAGCTCCGGGCCGCCGAGCTCCGGGCCGCCGGCGGAGGGCGCCGAGCTCCGGGCCGCCGGCGGAGGGCGCCGAGCTCCGGGCCGCCGGCGGAGGGCGCCGAGCTCCGGGCCGCCGGCGGAGGGCGCCGAGCTCCCGCCCCCCGGGCCCCGGGCCGCTTTACGGCCGTGCGCCGCTTTCCGGCAGCGTGGCGGAAGAGCCCCGTCGTTTAGCGCCATTGTTTAGCGCCATTTGGCGACACGTGCGCCGGGCGGCGGCGCGGCCGACATGGCGTCGCCCTTCAGCGGGGCGCTGCAGCTGACGGACCTGGACGACTTCATCGGGCCGTCTCAGGTGAGCCGGCCGGGGCGGGCGCGGCGCCGGGGCGGGGGCAGCCGCTCCCAGCTGCGTCTTCCTGGCCGGGGCTTCAGATAGCGCGGCTTCCGTCCTCCTTCCGGGGAAACTGAGGCCGGGCCGGCCGGCCAGGTCGCCGTGCCCCGAGATGCCCCGCGGGGCCCTCGGAGCCGTGGGAGGGCGTGGGGTTCGCAGGCAGGCCCCCGGAGTGGGGGTCCCGCCCCGCCGCGGGGACACCGGTGGGAGGGCGCGGGGGCGGGGCGGGGCCGTCAGCGGGGCGGGGCCGTCAGCGGGGGGCGGGGCCGTCAACGGGGGCGGGGCCGTCAGCGGGGGCGGGGCGGGGCTGTCAGCGGGGCGGGGGCCGTCAGCGGGGGCGTGGCTGCCAGCGGGGCGGGGCCGCCAGCGGGGGCGGGGCCGTGAGCGGGGGCGGGGCTGTCAGCGGGGCGGGGCCGTCAGCGGGGCGGGGCCGTCAGCGGGGGGCGGGGCCGTCAACGGGGGCGGGGCCGTCAGCGGGGGCGGGGCGGGGCTGTCAGCGGGGCGGGGCCGTCAGCGGGGGCGGGGCGGGGCTGTCAGCGGGGCGGGGCCGTCAGCGGGGGGCGTGGCTGCCAGCGGGGCGGGGCCGCCAGCGGGGGCGGGGCCGTCAGCGGGGGCGGGGCTGTGGGGGGGAGGGGGCTGTCAGCGGGGGCGGGGCTGTCAGCGGGGGGCGGGGCTGTGGGGGCGGGGCAGGGCCGTCAGCGGGGGCGGGGCTGTCAGCGGGGCGGGGCTGTGGGGGGAGGAGGGAGGGGCTGTCAGCGGGGGGCGGGGCTGTGGGGGGAGGGGCGGGGCTGTCAGCGGGGGAGGGGCTGTCAGGGGGGAGGAGGGAGGGGGCTGTCAGGGGGGCGGGGGAGGGGGCTGTGGGGGGTTGTTGGGGGCTGTCAGTCGGGCCTGGCCGCCGTTCCCCCCATCCCCCACCCCACCCCCACCCCCGCCCCCTGCCTGCAGAGGTGGAGGGCCGGTGCTGCTGTCCACACTTAGGATGGAGGTCAGGGTAGGCAGTGCTTTGGCAGGCAGGCGGTGTGTAGCCTGGTCCTCAGGCTGACCTGGGCATCCATGGTGGGCAGAGCTTTGGCGGGCAGGCGGTCTGTAGCCTGGTCCTCGGGCTGACCTGGGCATCCGTGGTGGGCAGAGCTTTGGCGGGCAGGCGGTCTGTAGCCTGGCCCTCGGGCTGACCTGAGCATCCGTGGTGGGCAGAGCTTTGGCGGGCAGGCGGTCTGTAGCCTGGCCCTCGGGCTGACCTGGGCATCCGTGGTGGGCAGAGCTTTGGCGGGCAGGTGGTCTGTAGCCTGGCCCTTGGGCTGACCTGGGCATCCGTGGTGGGCAGAGCTTTGGCGGGCAGGCGGTCTGTAGCCTGGCCTTCGGGCTGACCTGGCCTCAGCCCTAGCCTAGGATGGTTTCAGCCGCGGGGGGCGCTCCCTGTTTGCGGCCCTGGGGCCACTGCCTGGTGCCGCCTGGCCTGCACGCAGCCTGCTTGGAGCCCAGCTTCCTCCCTCACAGGCCGGGCCTGGGTCTCTCCCGGCACAGGACTGCATCAAGCCCGTGAAGGTGGATAAGAAGCCGGGAAGTGGCGCGGCTAAGATCCACATTGAAGACGACGGAAGTTACTTCCAAGTGCATGCTGTAAGCTGGGGGATCTGAGACACTTCCAGGACCTCGTCGGGTGACACATGTGACCCTGAGTCTTCTGCTTCCCCCGCCAGTCCCTTCTCCCACCCAGACCTCAGTTCCTGGCCCCTCACTGACCAGGGGTGGGGGCAGGGTAGGGCAGGCAGACCTGTCTGCCGCAGTCCTAGATTTTCTATTCCGGCACCAGGACACCTAGTTCCTTCCTAATTAAACAATCATAAGATCTGGGTGTGACAGTGTTAAAATTCACCCCAACTGTCTTCACATCTGAACTCTAGGACCTTGACTCCAGGGTCTGTTCTGTTCTGTTGAGTCTGACACTACTGTCCACGCCACCCTCTCTCCTCTCTTGTCCACCCTGGCTTGTCCTCTTTTCTCATAGCCTGAGTGCACACCCAGGGGGCTGGACGGCCCCCAGACCCTTGAGTGAGCGAGTCCACTTTTCTGCACTGACTTAATCCACGCCCTCCCTGGTCGCATCACTCAGATATGCTAATGAATGTGACATTGATATGAACACCTAGGATGTAAATTTAACATTTCCATCATAAGTATGAAATTTTTTAAAACATCGAGTCAGGGTTGGGTACACGTGTGAAGTGACAGGCACCTGCCCAGCAGGTAGCAGGCCCTGAGTTCAACCCCTCCTACTATCTTCCACCTCAAAGGAAAAAAAGAAAACGATCGAGTAGCAGGGCTAGGGACTTGGCTCAGTGGCAGCGTGACTTCCTGGCACACATAAGGCCAAGTTCAATCCCTAGCACCCCAAAAGTAGAAATGAAAATGGAGTGGCAAGCAGCTCAGACAGCTGCCGTGGCAGCTGTTTATAAAAGGAAGACAGGTCCTGCTGAGCCCAGGCCTGTGGGCTCTGAGCCCCACACAGGACCTTCCACCCGTGTTCTCCTCCGCAGGATGGTGGGACCCAGAAGCTGGAGAGAGCCAAGGTCTCGCTCAATGACTGCCTGGCGTGCAGCGGCTGTGTCACCTCCGCAGAGACCGTCCTCATCACCCAGCAGAGCCACGAGGAGCTTCGGAAAGTTCTGGATGCTAATAAGGTAAGCCGTGGAGATGGGCCCCCGCAGCCCGCCGTGTTTCCGCCAGGCACCTCGTCCCGGCCGCCCACCCTTTTCCAGGAGACTCGTGGGTCTCCAGGGCACTCCCCTAGCATGTCTGCACGCTCCACCCGTCAGTCCCGGACCCTGAACTTTGGGTTCTGAGTGTACCTTGCTCTCTGGAGCGACGGCGCCCAGCTACGGCAGGCTGGGCACTGGGGATCTGCACCAGGCTTGCGGGGCCAGAGGCCTTCCTCCCTTGCTTTGCAGACAGCAGCGCCCGGTGAGCAGCGGCTGCTGGTGGTGTCAATCTCTCCTCAGTCCACGGCGTCCCTGGCAGTGAGGTTTCAGCTGGATCCCACAGACACTGCCAGGAAATTAACTTCGTTCTTTAAGAAATTAGGTAGGCACAGAATGCTGGGTGCGTCACCGCCACAGAACAAAAGGGCATCTGGGCCGGGGCCTCTTCCCACCGGAGTCACGCATCACTCCCTGTGAACCCCACAGCAGAGACTCGGCTCCAAGTCTGACTTCAGCCTGAAGTTTTGCCTGATGGCTGAGGGCAGGGTCTCGGGAGAAGCCCTCTGCATTCTGGTTTTGTGCTTTGCCTTCCCTGTTGTACTTTGGGGGTTCTCATGTGGTTTGGGAGGTTGTTTTGTTGGCTTTTTTTTTTTTTGTAGTGAAGTTTGAACTCGGGACCTCGTGCTTGCTAGACAGGCACGCTCCCACCTGGGCCAGACCTCCCACCCAGACCTCGGCAGGCACGCTAACTTGGGCCAGACCTCCCACCCAGACCTCGGCAGGCACCCTCCCACCTGGGCCAGACCTCCCACCCAGACCTCGGTTCCCGCCTTTAAGGCAGTTCTGCGGCACTCGGCCTGGGCCGGCCCTGGCTGGCTCTGTGCTGGGTGCTGGGCTGCAGGAGGACGTGGGTGCTGTGAGAGGCGACCCCTGTTCAATGGGCTCCAGTCTTCCAGCCGCCGGCAGCCTGCCCTGGCAAGGGGCCAGGGGCTGGACGTGGCGCTCACAGCCCAACCACAGGACACTGGGCCGTGGGATCCAGCTCCCTCAGGAGCACACTGGTGCTATGGCTGGTCTGGTTTGTGGACTTCACAGTGCTGTGGCCTCACCCAAGTCCCGGGCACCCCAGGGACCCAGACCTGATTCCGATGGTGACAGTGGGTACAGTGTTACCTGGCACGCGAGCTCCGGTGGAGCTGGGGGCAGGGACTCCTCTCTGCACATCCTGTGGGAGCTGCATGTGGCAGCCAGGCTGCGCATGAGCCCAAGGCATCTCAGGGACAGGGCCGTGGGCACCCGGAGTGGGCCGTGTAAGGTAGGCATCTGTGGGAGGAACGTTGTCGCGGGCTGAGCTCACTTCCAGTGACGGGATGCAGAAGAGCCCGTGGGTGGGTGCTGGGGAGCAGGTGAAGCGGGGTCACCGCTGTGCGCAGCGTCTTCTGGTGGCTGCTGGGGAACAGAATCTGCGCCCCACTGTTAACGGTTGTCCTCCTGTGGGAACAGCGTGTCCCACGGTGCCAGCCCCCTGCCCCGCTGGCTCCTGCCACGGCGAGGTGTCAAGCTCCCCCCTCCTTCCACTTCCACTTCCAGGGGTGCACTACGTATTCGACACCGCCTTCTCCAGGAACTTCAGCCTCCTGGAGAGCCAGCGAGAGTTTGTGCGGCGATTCCGACGCCAGGCTGACTCCAAAGAGGCCTTGCCCGTACTGGCTTCTGCCTGCCCAGGTGTGCGTGGGGCGGAGGGTGGAGGTGCCCCAGGGGTCGCCCGCTGTTGCCCGCCCCGCAGTGCCGGCTGCCTGGAGCGGGCGCTGCCTCGTGACAGCGGTGACACTGGGGGAGGGGCCCGCCCCCAGAATGTCAAGTCACTGCCAAGCTGCTAAAAGCCCCCCTGCTGCCCCGCGTCCCCGACACCGCCAACACCCGTTTGCTCCTCTGGCTCAGGTTGGATCTGCTACGCCGAGAAGACGCACGGCAGCCTCGTCCTCCCCTACCTCAGCACGGTGCGCTCTCCCCAGCAGGTCATGGGCGCCCTGGTCAAGGACTTCTTCACGCAGCAGCAGGTAGCGGCCTGGGCCGTGAGCTGGGGGTGGCGGGGCCAGCTGCCAGGGAACCCCACGGTGGCTGCTGTGGACAGTCTTGGTTCTCCGTCACCCCCGCTGCCCAGGTGTCGCCAGGGGCCAGCTCTGAAAAGGAAGTGCTTGTCACTTGCCCAGAGGTGGCCGGAGCCCACACAGGCCGCTGGGTAAATACCGCCTGGCTCTGCCTGAGGTCCTGGCCAGCGGGGGCTGGGAGGGAGCCACTCACGCAGTGCCCATGGCCGTGTGCACAGCTGGCCTTCCGCAGGTCGGCCTCGTGGCATCCACGTGCACAGAACCTTCTGGAAAACTTGGTCTCACAGCTGACATCCTGGGCAGCCATGGGTCCCGCCTCTCCTGTCACGGCCAGGCCGTCCGAGGTGGTGATACCCCCCACTCCCTTGTTCCCGCAGCACCTGACCCCGGACAAGGTCTACCACGTCACGGTGATGCCCTGCTATGACAAAAAGCTGGAAGCATCTAGACCCGACTTCCTCAGCCGGGAGCACCTGGCTCGGGAGGTGGACTGCGTGCTCACCACAGGTGAGCCTCCAGGGCCCGCCCCCGCCAGTGTGTTGCTGGGACGCCCCCAAGGGTCCCGCAGCCCCCCGCTGTGTCTCCTTGTGTGTGTTGGGGGACAGGCAGCAGATCCCTGGGCTCGACCTTCACCCCGCTTCTGAGCTGAGCAGCCTGCATCGCCCGGCAGGGCTGAGGCGGCCCTCCCAGAGTCCAGGGGTCAGCCGGGCTCCCCGGACAGCTTCGCGCTGAGCTGTGCGCTGTGGTTCCGCTGCAGGGGAAGTCTTCCAGCTGCTGGAGGAAGAGGGGGTCTCGCTCTTGGAGCTGGAGCCAGCCGCTCTGGACAGCCTGTGAGTCTATGCAGTCACTGGGAACGTTCACTTCGGCTTCCTAATGGCCTGGGGGCGGGGGGGTTGGGTCCCTGTCCCACCTCTCTGCCTTCGCACACTGTGGCCTGCTTGGGCTAGGCAGGGGCTGCGTCGGGTGTAGCTGAGTCCAGCCTTGTAGCTTCCAGGACCTTGGTGGTGTGGGTGGGTTCTGCCACCCTAGAGCCCCGAGGCTCGACGGGAGGCAAGGCTCAGCCCGGCTCAGCCCAGCGCAGTGGCTGGCGGCTGGAGGGGGGGGTGCACTAACACGCCCTTCCCCCAGGACCGGCGGCACGTGTGAAGAGCCCACCAGCCACCGGGGCGGGGGGTCCGGAGGGTACCTGGAGCACGTGTTCCGCTACGCAGCCCAGGAGCTCTTTGGGATCCACGTGGACGAGGTCACCTACAGACCTCTGAGGTGAGTGCCGCGCGCTGCCCGCCGGCGCCGCCCCAAGGTGGGCGGGGAGACGGACCCCAACCCGAGAGGCCGGGCCGGACCCCGCCTGCTGCACTCCATCGGTGCAGTTAAGGAAGCCAAAAGCCGGATGAGGTTCTGCTGTACCGGATGTGGGGGGAAGCTGCCGGGAGCCAGGGACCCCAGCAGGCCTCCCCAGGGGGCCGGGTACCCGCAGGGGAGGGGGCATGGCGCAAGCCCAGCCTGTGCCACCAGGAACAAGGACTTCCAGGAGGTGGCCCTGGAGAGGGAGGGCCGCGTGCTGCTGCACTTCGCCACGGCCTATGGCTTTCGCAACATCCAGAACCTCGTACAGAAGCTGAAGCGGGGCCGCTGCCCCTACCACTACGTGGAGATCATGGCCTGCCCGTCAGGTAGCCGCCTGGGCACTGATGGATGGCCTTCCACCAGTGCGGGGGGGGGGGGGGGGGGAGGCGGTGTTGGGAATCCCCGCCTGGCACTCTCACTACCCTACCCCTGCTCTGCTCTGCCCCAGGTTGCTTGAACGGCGGGGGCCAGCTCAAGGCTGCGGACACAACCAGCAAGCAGCTTCTCCTGCAGGTGGAGAAAAAGTACAGCATGGTCAGGACACGGGCACCAGAGGACATACCTGAAGTCCAGGAGTTGTACCAGCACTGGCTGCAGGGTGAGGGCTCAGAGCTGGCTGGCCGCCTGCTGCACACTCAGTACCACGCAGTAGAGAGGCCCAGCTCAGGCCTCAGCATCCGGTGGTAGGCGCCTTCCGGTCGGCGAGGCCACACACCCTCAGCCGCGGGGGCCTTCTCCAAAACTCAGAGTGAGCTGCAGGACTGTGCTGGGCCCCGGTGGCGCTCACCAGGGGCCACCTCGCACAGACGGCCTGCACACACAGCCCGTGCACGGATAGCCTCGCTCAGACGGCCCACACACACGGCCCGTGCCTCCGGACTGGCCCTGCTGGGATGGGGCAGCCAAAGGGAGCTTCCAGAACCTCCTTCTCTGGCCAGAACTGACTTGCAAGAGCGCCGACGCCCCACTCCTGGCTGTGATGACCCACTCCTGGTGAACCCCATTCCTGCTCTCCAGGGTCAACCCTGAAGCCGGTGCAGAGGGCCACGGGGCTGGACTGCCCCACATGGGGCCTGGAAGGGAGGGGTGCCTGGCGCCCTCAAACCAGGTGTGTGTGAGGAAGATGGGGGCTGGGCTGTCCCCAGTCTGGCCCTCACCTGGTCCGGCCTTGTCCTAATAAACAGATGGCATTTGGCATGTCACTGAACCAGGCTTTGAGTGCTTTATTTACAGTACAAAGCCCCTCCCTGCACCTGGCGGCCTCCTGGAGCAGCAGGCCAGGGCTGAGCAGCAGCCAGCCGAGCCCAGCAGGAAGTCCCAGGCCAGGGACTGGCAGAGGCCCTTGTCCCTTGCTAGGGGAGGGGAGGACCCAGAGGGGGGTCCTCGGGCTCACTTCTGCCGGAGTGCGCTCAGAAGGCCCCACTGCAGAGCCAGGAGAGCCCGGGCCTGGGGCTGCGGCGGCTCGGACGTGTGCTGGAACTTTGCCCGCTCCCTGCAGAGCACCTCCAGGACCTGGGCCGGGGCCGTCTGGCCTGTGAACTGGCGTACGGGCCCCTCCCTATAAGGGAAAGCAGGTCTGGCTGGATGCCCAGGAGAGCGGGGATGGGCAGGCCAGGGGATGACAATGTGCCTCCCGGTGACAGGGACATTGAGCACCCGCCTAACTACCCCAGTGACTGCCACGGGGGCCCCAAGGACAGCGGGACACCAGCCCTGGCCAGCCCGTGCCGCAGGGAGCCCCGGCGGGCCCCGCCGCAGCCGTACTCACTCAACTCTCAGGAAAGGGTTGTACAGGAGCTCCTCGCCCAGGGTGGAAGGCACAGTGGGCACGTCGTCCTCCTCCCTCTTCTGCAATGACACAGGCCCTCGCCACCACAGGACGCCTCTGACGGCCACGGGCCATCCAGCGCCGCCCAGGACTCCAGCGCTGGGCAGCGAGTCCCAGGCCCACGCCACTACAGCCACTGGTGGCAGTGGTGCCAACCCCTGGGGCTCTGCCCCTGGGTCCCTGAGGTCAAACCAGGGCAGTGCCCCCACAACACCCTCCCAGGGAGAAGGGGACGCAGAGCGGCCATACCTGAGCCCAGGCTAGTTTGGTTCTCACGTGGTCATTGCAGGGCTCCACTTGCTGTGCAAACTCCAGGTTGCTTAGCGTGTGTTCGTGCCCACAAAACACCTTCTGCGGAAAGCGGGTGCTCCATGGCACAGGGATGTCCGAGTGCTCGGGGCCTGGCCGGGGTCCATGCCGGGTCACTGCGTGCAGAAACCTGGTCACAGAACCAGGGCCCACTCACCGTCTCGGGGGGCAGGTTAGCCAGGATGTCTGTCAGGCTTTGGTACATTTGCTGAGCTGTGTCCTCCAAGCGCCAGCCACAGCCAGCCACCGACAGGGCGTCTCCTGGGGAGGAAGATGGGTCAGAGAAGGTGGGCAGTGTGCACGGGAAGGGGTGGCAGGTTCCCGCTCACAGGGCACCTGAAAAGAGGGCAGGTGGATCCAGGCTGTTGTCCTCCCACAGGAAGTAGCTCATGTGGCCCGACGTGTGGCCCGGTGTCAGAAGGCAGCGCACATGTATGGCCCCAAACTGCAGCACCAGAGTAAGGGACGTGAGGGCCTGAGGGTTGGCAAGCAGCCCGGGCAGCCCCTGGGCCCAGGCAGCTCTCTGGCCAGGGCAGCTCCCTGGGGTCCCGGCCTGGACACCTCCCGGCCCTGCGCAGGCTCACCAGCAGCTCCTCGCCGTGGGCCAGCCTGCGGGTGAGCGCGCAGATGCGCTCGTCGGCTCCCAGCACGGCCAGCCCGGGCAGCAGCCGCGCCAGCTCCGCGTTTCCCCGGGCGTGGTCCCTGCGGGGGAGCCCAGCCGGTCACACTGGGCGCGGGCGGCAGCGGCGGCCCCGGGCGCCCGGCCCCACGGCGCTCACCAGTGGTGGTGTGTGGTCAGCACCGTGGTCAGGGACACGCCCTCTCGGCCCGCGATCTCCAGCAGCTGGAAGGAGGGAGTCCGGGTGGGGGGGGCAGCGGGGGGCACGGGTGGGGGCCGGGCCTGGGGGGACCGGGAACCGGGCGCTGGGGGGCCGGGCCTGGGAACCGGGCGCTGGGGGGGCCGGGAACCGGGCGCTGGGGGGCCGGGCCTGGGAACGGGGCGCTGGGGGAGCCGGGAACCGGGCGCTGGGGGGCCGGGCCTGGGAACGGGGCGCTGGGGGGGGCCGGGCCTGGGGGGACAGGCCTGGGGGGGCCGGGAACCAGGCGCTGGGGGGCCGGGCCTGGGAACCGGGCGCTGGGGGGGCCGGGAACCGGGCGCTGGGGGGCCGGGCCTGGGAACCGGGCGCTGGGGGGCCGGGCCTGGGAACGGGGCGCTGGGGGGGGCCGGGCGGCGCGCGCAGGTGCTGGGGCACAGAGGGGCGGGGCGGGGCGGGACCAGGTGGGGTGGGGGGGCCTGGTGGGGTGGGGCGGGGCCTGGTGGGGCGGGGCCTGGTGGGGCGGGGCCTGGTGGGGCGGGGCCTGGTGGGGCGGGGTCTGGCGGGGCAGGGCCGAGCCGAGCAGGGCGGGGCGGGGCCGGGCTGTGGACGGGGCCTGGTGGGGCGGGGCCGAGCCGGGTGGGGCGGGGCCGGGCCAAGCGGGGCGGGGCGGGGCGGGGCCGGGCGGTGGGCGGGGCCTGGTGGGGCGGGGCCGAGCCGGGTGGGGCGGGGCCGGGCCAAGCGGGGCGGGGCCGGGCCAAGCGGGGCGGGGCCGGGCGGTGGGCGGGGCCTGGTGGGGCGGGGCCGAGCCGGGTGGGGCGGGGCCGGGCCAAGCGGGGCGGGGCGGGGCCGGGCGGCGGGCGGGGCCCTCACCCGCGTGGGCACGGCCGCGTCCACGGCCACGGCCTCCCGCGTGCGCTCCTCGATGACCAGGTACATGTAGTTGTCCTCCAGCACCGAGATGACCTTGACCTTCATGTCGCGGGGCTCAGACCCCGGCGCCCCGAGAGGGCGCGCCCCCGCCCGCCGCCCCGGAAGCTCCCGGAAGGACCGCGGCTCCCCGGGCCCGGCCCGCCGCCCGCCGCCCGCCCCCCTCCTCCGGAGGCCCCGCCGGCAGCCCGGCCTCTCCGTTCACCGCACCGGTGCGCAGGCCAGGACGGGCGGGAGACCTGGGCGACGGGGACGGAGGACGAAGGCGGTCACGGCCCCGACGCCGGAGCTGCGCTGGCCGGCCGCTACCCCGCCTCCCGGCCGGAACCTCCGCAGCGGGAGGCAGCGCGCACGCGCGGCAGGGAGCGCGCCGGGCGGGGCGCATGCTCAGACCCTTCCTCGGGCGCCCACAGCCCGGTCCCTCCGCGCGGGACGCCGCGAGCCCCGCCCCCTGAACGCGGGACGCCGCGAGCCCCGCCCCCTGCACCTGGGACTCCCAGAGCCCCGCCCCCTGCACGAGGGATGCCCGGAGCCCCACCCCCTGCGCCTGGGACTCCCAGAGCCCCGCCCCCTGCACCTGGGACTCCCAGAGCCCCGCCTCATCTCCCAGAGCCCCGCCCCCTGCACCTGGGACTCCCAGAGCCCCGCCCCCTGCACGAGGGATGCCCGGAGCCCCACCCCCTGCGCCTGGGACTCCCAGAGCCCCGCCCCCTGCACCTGGGACTCCCAGAGCCCCGCCTCATCTCCCAGAGCCCCGCCCCCTGCACCTGGGACTCCCAGAGCCCCGCCCCCTGCACGAGGGATGCCCGGAGCCCCACCCCCTACGCCTGGGACTCCCAGAGCCCCGCCCCCTGCACCTGGGACTCCCAGAGCCCCGCCTCATCTCCCAGAGCCCCGCCCCCTGCACCTGGGACTTCCAGAGCCCCGCCCCCTGCACGAGCGCTGCCTGGAGTCCCGCCCCTGCACGAGGGATGCCCGGAGCCCCGCCCCCTGCACCTGGGACTCCCAGAGCCCCGCCCCATCTTCCAGAGCCCCGCCCCCTGCACGAGCGCTGCCCGGAGCCCCGCCCCCGCCGTCCACACACACACACACACACACACACACACACACGTGCTCAGGTTGGGTGCGGGGACAGAAGGCCACTAGGAGTGGGTGACCTGGCCCACGGGCACAGGGCACGGAGGGCGGCTGGGCGTTTCCGTGCCCCTCGCTTTCCTCTCGACCTCTGTCCCCCTCAGCTCCCCTCGCCCCCTCCCCCCAGCTCCCCTCGCCCCCCTCCCCCCACCTCCCCTTCCCTCCCCTTCTTCCCCCCTCGCCCCCCCTCCTCCCGCCTCCCCTTCCCTCCCCTTCCCTCCCCTTCTTCCCCCCTCGCCCCCCTCCCCCCGCCTCCCCTTCCCTCCCCTTCCCTCCCCTTCTTTCCCCCTCGCCCCCCCTCCTCCCGCCTCCCCTTCCCTCCCCCCCCCCCACGGCAGCCAGCAGGGAGGGCCTTCACACAGGGGCTCCACCCAGAGCGCCCCCCCAGCCGCTGCCCGGCCACGGCCAGCCCGGGCCTCCTGGGCGGGGCAGGTAGGCCCGAAGACCACAGAGGCCTTGGCAACCAGGCCAGTCAACAGCCACCACCCGGCAGGAGCCGGGCCGCCCTGGGCACAGCTCTAGGAGAGGAGCCGCCTAGAGCCATGGAGAAAGTGAGTCTCCCCAACACCACCCTGGGTCTGGCTCTTTCCCTCAGAGGCCAGGGGGTTGTGCAGGCCCCACTCCTCTCCTGGCCAGGGAAGGGCCGCCTTGGCTGGGTGTCCAGAGCCCAGGCCTCAGACCCACTGGGGCCTGGGGTGCTGCGGCCTCCCCAGGTGCCAGGGGCTGACAGCTGGTTGCTGGGAGAGCCTGGGGACACCCCCGCATGGGCCGGCAGCCTGCAGACGGAGCTTCCGGCCGCCCGGGAGCTGAGTGAGCAGCAGCAGCTGCAGGTGGATGGGGAACCCCGGAGCTCCCAGTTGGGGAGGGCAGCCAGGGGGCCCAGAGGCAGCGCCTTTCAACCTGGCACCCGCAGATCTCCAAGGAGTTGGTTGACCTTCAGATCACCACCCACCGCCTGCAGGAGCAGCACGAGGCTGAAGTCTTCCAGCTGCGGAGGGAGGTGAGCGCCTCCGCCAGGCACCACCTGGGCTGTCCCTTGTGAGCTGTGTGGCCGTGTCTGTGCCCAGATACATGCGTGCCCACGCTGGGCAGTCCAGCAGGCAGCTGCCCTGTTGCCTCCAGGTCCTGCGGCTGGAGAGTCGGGTGCTGGAGCTGGAGCTGCACCACGATCACGCCAGCCACAAAGCCCCAGCAGACTCTCACCAGGGGTGCTGCCCAACACCGGCACAGGAGTTCAGCCACAGAACTCAGGGGCCTGAGCCCCAGGAGCACCAGAGACCCCAGGTCACCGTGAGCACGTGGAGGGCTGGGTGCGGGGTGCTGGTGAGTTCCACGGGGGCGCGGCCAGGTGGAAGCTTGCTCACCCGAGCCTCAGTCCCGTCTGTTCTTCCCTGGGGATGCAGCCCAGGGACACCTGGCTTCTGAGCAAGAGCAAGTCAAACTGGGGAGCAACGGGACCACACAGCCCCTAACGCAGGGCTTCGCTCCTGGGGGGCCGCTGGGGGTTGGGTCTGAACAACCAGCTCTGTGTACCGTACAGCCGCCGGGAGTCGGGGGATACCTGCGGGAAGATGGGACCTGGGTGCAGCAGGCCCTGCAGGAACGAGTGTGAGCAACCCCCCCATCCTGGACCGGGAGGGCCCAGCAGGACAGCACTGATCCTTCACCCTGGCCTGACTGAGCCCCACGCTGTCAGCAGGGCAGCCCTGGACCGGCAGCTGCAGGGAACCCAAGAAGAAGCCAGGGCGGCTGGGCAGCGACTGGCCACACAAGCTATGGTGAGGCTCAGCCCGCCGTACACACGTAAGAGGTCTGGAGGACGGGGCCTAGAAATGCAGCAAAGGTTCCCGTCTTCCCAGGTACTGTCCACCTGCCAGGCCCAGCTCCGCCAGGCCGAGGCCGACAACGCCCGGCTGCAGCTGCGGCTGAAGAGACTGATGGAGGAATATGCCGCACGGCTGCAGCACTGTACGCAGCAGGCGGTGGTGAGCAGCCCTCCTGAGGTCCGGGCAGATGCTGAGCCCTGGCCGCTGGGCACCACCGCAGGCAGAGTACCCAGCTGGCCGGGACAGGGGAAGAGGCGGGGCCCAAGTAAGCTCCGCCCCATCCCCCCAGGAACAGGCCAGTGGTACGGGCCAGGCTTCCCTGCGGACATTCCTGGAAGCCACTCTGGAGGACATCAGGGCAGCGCACCGCAGCCGTGAGCAGCAGCTGGCACAGGCCGCCCGGACCTATCGCAAGCGCCTGGCAGACTTAAGTCGTAGGCACGAGTTGCTGCTGACCACTTGCAGGTAGGCCCCATCCTGGCTCGGGTTCATGGGGTGGGGTGAGCCCCATGTGACCTGGAGTGCGGCTTAGTGTGCAGCAGGAACGGCCCCAGGCACCGACGGACCCCAGCAAGGCACTGGAGACCCCCGGGGCCACCTGTGCTGCCAAGCCTGGCCACCCAAGGGATGATAAGGTGAGACAAGCAAGCCCAGGGCCTCTCCCCGCTGCCCAGCGCTGCCCTGGGACAGAACTCCAGGGCTCGGCAAAGCCCGGGGGCCTCTGCGCGGCCTGCGGAGGGTCCTCGTCATGTCTTACAGTGCCGCAGCCTCGGGACCTCACTTCTGGGCCCAGAGAAAGGACCTGGTGAAGGCTCCCAGGGGACATCACGGCCGCTGTGAGTTGGGCAGGGTGGGGGCAGGAGGAGAATGGAGGAAGAGGCAGAGCACAGAACCCTGCAGCCGCCCGGCCTTCATTTATTCCTGCTACCCCTGCCCTGGCATCTCCTGGGGTGTCTGGGAGACACTAATCACAGGAATAGTGAAGTAGCTGCTCCCGCTAAGCAGCTTGCAGACAAAGAAGAGGGACCTGCTAGAAGGAGGTCAGAGAGAGCCCGCCCGAGGTCAGAGTGGGCGCCGACCGCCTGTGACCAGGCAGGCCCCTGGCTCAGACCTCCCCCTTCCCGGCTGCCCGTGAGCAGGGCCCGTGAGGAAACACCTCTTAGGGTTTGGGGAAACAAGAACCCAATGGGCCTGGGTGGGACCCCCCCGCGGAAACCGCCCTTTTGTCCCTCTGCCAGGGGCCTGGCCACTGTGTCCTGGGCCGAGATCCACCAGAAGCTCCGGGACTTCTCCAGGAACACCCAGGTAGTAGGCAAGGCTGGGCAGGGGCCCCGCCGCACCCCATGCCCTGGCTCACGGTGTGCTTTGCTGCCAGGCGGAGCTGGAGCGTCAGCAGGCCCAGCTGCTGGTCCGGGCCACGGTGGCGGAAGAGCAGCTTGCTGAGTTACAGGAGTACGTAGACCAGCATCTAGGCAGGTGGGCCAGGCATGACCCAAGGATCTCGGCCCCAGAAGAGGGAAGAAAGCCCACCACCAAGCAAGCAACTTCACCCAACCTCTCCTCCAAGGTATAAGCAGGAGATTCTGAGACTGCGGACGCTGGTGGGTTCTGAGGACCCCCAGAATGGAGAGGCCCTACCTCCAGCCAGGCCCCAGCATCCGAGCACACGCAGCACCCGCTAGCCGGTCTCCGAGGGCAGCCGGCGTGGAGGAGCCTCCCCAAACCCCACCCCGGAAAATCAGCCCTTCTCTACCAAACAAGAGTTGGGGTGGGAGCTGCAGAGTCTTTATTGTGTCCAGCCAGCCTGTATGGTGGGGGTCCTGGGGACTGGGGGAGAGCCCAACCCTGGGGTGGCCTCGCTGGGCACTCCCAAGGAGGACACAGCAAACCCAGCGCCAGGGATGTCGTAGGCCCAGACGCAGTCCTGGCCCTCTCCCGCCACGGCCACAGGCTGCCAAGTAGGGAGCGGGAAGCGCCCCGCTACCACGCGAGCCCCAGGGGGCAGCTCTGCCCGAAGCTTGTCCTCCAGCAGGGGCAGCTGTGGGAAAGAGCAGGGGATGGGGCGGGCGGGGTCGGCTGTCAGCGGGCCCAGTACCCGGGCCCAGGCCCCAGGCCGGCCAACGCCGAACACGGCCCGACCTCCCGGCAGAGCAGCAAACCCCCGACCTACCACACTGGGGGCCAGGAACACAGACACGTTGTAGCAGTCCTTCAGGCTCACCTGCGCAAGACCCGAGCGGAGATGAGGGCTAGGGGCGTGCGGGGAGGGCAGCCGAGGCCTGGGGTCCCAGGGCTCCCCAGGTTACCTTCCAGAGATCCTGGCGGTAGTAGTGGACGCGGCCTGCGCAGCCGGCCCTCCACGCGTGCAGGCGTGCGAGCCCCACCAGCCATGGGTTCAGTTCATAGCCCACGGCCGGCCGGAGCCCGCACCGGTGTGCCGCCAGCACCTGCGGGAGTCGCGAGTGTGAGCTGGTGCAGGGGAGGGGTCCGTGGGACACAGGGATGAGCACGTGTGCGCGTGCACACACACTTACAATCCTGCCGTCCCCGGAGCCCAGGTCCACCGTCTTCCCGGGGCGGCCTCGCAGCAGCAACAACACGTGCTCCACCTGCCGCGCACTCGCACCCACGTAGGGCACCTGGAGAGGAGGTGCGGGCGCTGGGACCAGCGGCAGGGAGGCTGGGGGGCTCCCCCGGTCCGGCCCCCCGCGCCCCGCACCTGCAGCCGCAGCGGCACCCCGCGGAAGCCGGGCTGCAGCAGCAGCGCCCACACGGCATAGGCCGCCAGCCCCGAGCCTGCTGCCAGCTGCAGCAGCTCCACCGCCCGCAGCCGCCTGGCGCGCAGCCCCAGGAACGCCTCAGCCGGGTCTTCATGCTCCATGGCTGCGGGGCCAGAGGCCTGGGAAGACTGGAAGGGGCCAGGCCGCCTCTCACCGGGGTTCCGGGTGGTGGCTCTGGCAGGCGGCCGCCAGGCTGTGCCCTGCTCAGGGTTTGTCCGGCCTGACCGCTGCGTCTGGATGCCGGCCTCTGGAGCCAGAAAGGGGGGCAGGGGGCAGGCTCAGGCAGGGCCGGGCAGCGGCCAAGCTGGTGCGACTGGCCCGTACCCCATGTGACCGCCGTCCTCAGGCTCATGGACCCATGTGACCGCTGTCCCCAGGGCTCACCAGCCAGGACTTCCTGGAAAGCTAGCCAAGCCCAGGGCAGGTCCCACAGAGACTCCCTGAAGTCCCTCTCCCCCACCCCCTCCAGGACAATTAGGGGGAGTGGATGCCTGGGAGCCGGTGGGGGTCATGGGAGGGATGATAGGGAGAGACAGATGTTGGCTCTGGAGGGAGAAGCTTCCGGATGTGAGCTTGGCCGCTGGCAGCTGGCCAAACGTGTGTGTGTGGGGGGGGGTAAAACAGCCCAACAACCAAGGAGAACAAAAGGGAAGAGTTGTTCTGGGCAAAGCCCTGGTCCAGGCTGGGCTGACTACTCACGCCGCTGAGGTCTGGCTTGTCTGTGTGGAGAAAGGCCTGTGTCCCCAGCTCCGGCCTCATCCCCTTCGGCCAGCCAGTGCCCATGATCACCACGCCTCCCGGGAGCAAGGGCCCTGCTGGTGCTGGCACACTGGTCCCAGTCTAACCAGTCTAACCGGCAGGCCTTCCACGGGCCACAGGAGAGCCTTCATTTGCTAGGGAGGAGGTAACCTGCCCTCCCAGCTCTGTGTCCAGCCTCCTCAGGGGCTGTAGTTGACCCCCTCCCGGGGCAGGGCGTCAGCAAACTCCAGACAGGAGTGCTTACACACACCTGGTCTCAGGACTCCCAGTGTCCAGAGCACCTGAGGCGCTCAGCAACGTCAGACCAAGGGCACAGGTGGGCCTGTGTGTCTGCACCCCGTGACAGGTTCAGCTGGCCCACAAGAGGCCCCCGGCCCGCCTCCCTTAGCTCCAGACCACACGCTCGCCCACACTTAGCCTGGCTGCCTCGCCTCCCATGCCCCCACCCGTCTGGCCATGTTCTGGGGGTACACGGGGTTCTCTTGGCCCTGCTATCTGCAACCTGCCCTGAGCACAGGCCGAAAGCAGGAGCTGTCTCTGGAAGGCCGTGCATTGGGGTTCTGGCCCTTCCCGGAGCATGTGAGCAGAGCACGTTTAGCAGCCCGGCCTGTTGTGTTCGGGTGGTCTGGGGCTGGTGCTCAGCCAACGGCCATGCCGTGTGGAGGCCAGGCAGTGGGGACCGCTCTTAGGTAGGTTGTGGGGAGCTGGCTAGAGGATCCGGGCAGGTGCCAAAGGGAAGGGTGCTGCTCAGCCCTGGTGGCAAGGCCTGGGAGACCTGTCTGGACCATCTCCCCAAGGTAACTGAGGAGTGGAGACACACAGGGCTCTCTATTCCTGGTGATGCTGGGGTACAGGGTGCTGGAGCCAGGGATGCAAGGGCCTGGCATCCAAGATATGATCCGGGCTGGGGGTGAAAAAGTGAGAGGAGTTGAGAATGTGGTAGAGTGCTCACCTAGCATGCATGAAGCCCTGGGTTAGATTCCTCCGTACCACATACACAGAAAAAGCCAGAAGTGGCGCTGTGGCTCAAGTGATCAAGCACTAGCCTTTAGCAAAAGCAGCTCAGGGACAGTGCCAAGGCCAAGTTCAAGACCCAGGACTGACAAAAAAAAAAAAGTGAGGGGGGGCTGGGAAGGTGGCTCAGTGGTAGAGCGCTTGCCTTGCATGCATGAGGCGCTGGGTTCAATTCCCCAGCACCACATAAGCAAAAAGAAAAAGCCAGAAGTGGCGCCGTGGCTCAAGTGGTAGAGCACCAGCCTTGAGCTGAAGAGCTGAAGGGCAGCGCCCAGGCCCAGAGTTCAGGCCCCAAGACCAGACCCCGCCCCCCCAAAAAAAGTGAGGGTCTGAGCCTGAGCACACAGCCTCCAATGGTTGGAAGTTTAGCTGATGCATGGAAGCAAGGAGCCCAAGGAGCTCCGGGGAAGAAACCTCCGTCCCCACTCAGCCTCATCAGCCCAGCCTAGGGGACACAAGCCAAGTAAAAGTGAATGCCTCTTCCCCTGCTGTAGACGCTTCAGGACAGCCACTAGAGTGACCGAGAGTGCCGGCTCAGGGTGCAGGGTGCCGGCTTGGCATAGGGTGCCGGCTCAGGGCATAGGGTGCCGGCTCAGGGCGTAGGGTGCTGGCTTGGCATAGGATGCTAGCTCAGGACACAGGGTGTCGGCTCAGGAAGTAGGGTGCCGGCTTGGCATAGGGTACTAGCTCAGGGCATAGGGTGCCGGCTTGGGGTGCAGGGTGCCGGCTTGGCATAGGGTGCCGGCTCAGAGTGTAGGGTACCAGCTTGGCATAGGGTACTAGCTCAGGGCATAGGGTGCCGGCTTGGGGTGCAGGGTGCCGGCTTGGCATAGGGTGCCGGCTCAGGGTGTAGGGTACCGGCTTGGCATAGGGTATTGGCTCAGGGCGTAGGGTGCCAGTTTGGCATAGGACGCTAGCTCAGGGCATAGGGTGTCGGCTCAGGAAGTAGGGTGCCGGCTTGGCATAGGGTGCCGGCTCAGGGTGTAGGGTGCTGGTTCAGGGTGTAGGTGCCGGCTCAGGGTGTAGGGTGCTGGTTCAGGGTGTAGGTACCAGCTCGGGGTGTAAGTGCTGGCTCAGGGTGTAGGTGCCGGCTCAGGGTGTAGGTGCTAGCTGAGGGTGTAGGTGCTGGCTGAGGGTGTAGGTGCTAGCTCAGGGAATAGGTGCTGGCTCAGGGTGTAGGGTGTAGGTGCTGGCTCAGGGTGTAGGTGCTGGCTCGGTGTAGGGTGTAGGTGCTGGCTTAGGGTGTAGGGTGTAGGTGCTGGCTCAGGGTGTAGGGTGTAGGTGGTGGCTCAGGGTGTAGGGTGTAGGTGCTAGCTCAGGGAATAGGTGCTGGCTCAGGGTGTAGGGTGTAGGTGCTGGCTCAGGGTGTAGGGTGTAGGTGCTGGCTCAGGGAATAGGTGCTGGCTCAGGGTGTAGGGTGTAGGTGCTGGCTCAGGGTGTAGGGTGTAGGTGCTGGCTCAGGGTGTAGGGTGTAGGTGCTGGCTCAGGGTGTAGGGTGTTGGTGCTGGCTCAGGGTGTAGGGTGTAGGTGCTGGCTCAGGGTGTAGGGTGTAGGTGCAGGCTCAGGGTGTAGGGTGTAGGTACTGGCTCAGGGTGTAGGGTGTAGGCTCAGGGTGTAGGTATAGGCTCAGGGTGTAGGTGTAGGCTCAGGGTGTGGGGTGTAGGGTGTAGGCTCAGGGTGTAGGTGTCGGCTCAGGGTGTAGGGTGTAGGTGCTGGCTCAGGGTGTAGGTGCTGGCTCAGGGTGTAGGTGCTGGCTCAGGGTGTAGGTGCTGGCTCAGGGTGTAGGGTGTAGGTGCTGGCTCAGGGTGTAGGTGCTGGCTCAGGGTGTAGGGTGTAGGTGCTGGCTCAGGGTGTAGGGTGTAGGTGCTGGCTCAGGGTGTAGGGTGTAGGTGCTGGCTCAGGGTGTAGGGTGTAGGTGCTGGCTCAGGGTGTGGGGTGTAGGTGCTGGCTCAGGGTGTGGGGTGTAGGTGCTGGCTCAGGGTGTAGGGTGTAGGTGCTGGCTCAGGGTGTAGGTGCTGGCTCAGGGTGTAGGGTGTAGGTGCTGGCTCAGGGTGTAGGTGCTGGCTCAGGGTGTGGGGTGTAGGTGCTGGCTCACGGTGTAGGTGCTGGCTCAGGGTGTAGGTGCTGGCTCAGGGTGTAGGTGCTGGCTCAGGGTGTAGGGTGTAGGTGCTGGCTCAGGGTGTAGGTGCTGGCTCAGGGTGTAGGGTGTAGGTGCTGGCTCAGGGTGTAGGGTGTAGGTGCTGGCTCAGGGTGTGGGGTGTAGGTGCTGGCTCAGGGTGTAGGTGCTGGCTCAGGGTGTGGGGTGTAGGTGCTGGCTCAGGGTGTAGGTGCTGGCTCAGGGTGTAGGGTGTAGGTGCTGGCTCAGGGTGTAGGTGTTGGCTCAGGGTGTAGGTGCTGGCTCAGGGTGTAGGGTGTAGGTGCTGGCTCAGGGTGTAGGGTGTAGGTGCTGGCTCAGGGTGTAGGGTGTAGGTGCTGGCTCAGGGTGTGGGGTGTAGGTGCTGGCTCAGGGTGTAGGTGCTGGCTCAGGGTGTAGGTGCTGGCTCAGGGTGTAGGGTGTAGGTGCTGGCTCAGGGTGTAGGTGCTGGCTCAGGGTGTAGGTGCTGGCTCAGGGTGTAGGGTGTAGGTGCTGGCTCAGGGTGTAGGGTGTAGGTGCTGGCTCAGGGTGTGGGGTGTAGGTGCTGGCTCAGGGTGTGGGGTGTAGGTGCTGGCTCAGGGTGTAGGTGCTGGCTCAGGGTGTAGGGTGTAGGTGCTGGCTCAGGGTGTAGGTGCTGGCTCAGGGTGTAGGTGCTGGCTCAGGGTGTAGGGTGTAGGTGCTGGCTCAGGGTGTAGGGTGTAGGTGCTGGCTCAGGGTGTAGGGTGTAGGTGCTGGCTCAGGGTGTAGGGTGTAGGTGCTGGCTCAGGGTGTAGGGTGTAGGTGCTGGCTCAGGGTGTGGGGTGTAGGTGCTGGCTCAGGGTGTAGGGTGTAGGTGCTGGCTCAGGGTGTAGGTGCTGGCTCAGGGTGTAGGTGCTGGCTCAGGGTGTAGGGTGTAGGTGCTGGCTCAGGGTGTGGGGTGTAGGTGCTGGCTCAGGGTGTAGGTGCTGGCTCAGGGTGTAGGGTGTAGGTGCTGGCTCAGGGTGTGGGGTGTAGGTGCTGGCTCAGGGTGTGGGGTGTAGGTGCTGGCTCAGGGTGTAGGGTGTAGGTGCTGGCTCAGGGTGTAGGGTGTAGGTGCTGGCTCAGGGTGTAGGTGCTGGCTCAGGGTGTAGGTGCTGGCTCAGGGTGTAGGGTGTAGGTGCTGGCTCAGGGTGTAGGTGCTGGCTCAGGGTGTGGGGTGTAGGTGCTGGCTCACGGTGTAGGTGCTGGCTCAGGGTGTAGGTGCTGGCTCAGGGTGTAGGTGCTGGCTCAGGGTGTAGGGTGTAGGTGCTGGCTCAGGGTGTAGGGTGTAGGTGCTGGCTCAGGGTGTAGGGTGTAGGTGCTGGCTCAGGGTGTGGGGTGTAGGTGCTGGCTCAGGGTGTAGGTGCTGGCTCAGGGTGTGGGGTGTAGGTGCTGGCTCAGGGTGTAGGTGCTGGCTCAGGGTGTAGGGTGTAGGTGCTGGCTCAGGGTGTAGGTGTTGGCTCAGGGTGTAGGTGCTGGCTCAGGGTGTAGGGTGTAGGTGCTGGCTCAGGGTGTAGGGTGTAGGTGCTGGCTCAGGGTGTGGGGTGTAGGTGCTGGCTCAGGGTGTAGGTGCTGGCTCAGGGTGTAGGGTGTAGGTGCTGGCTCAGGGTGTAGGGTGTAGGTGCTGGCTCAGGGTGTAGGTGCTGGCTCAGGGTGTAGGTGCTGGCTCAGGGTGTAGGGTGTAGGTGCTGGCTCAGGGTGTAGGGTGTAGGTGCTGGCTCAGGGTGTGGGGTGTAGGTGCTGGCTCAGGGTGTGGGGTGTAGGTGCTGGCTCAGGGTGTAGGTGCTGGCTCAGGGTGTAGGGTGTAGGTGCTGGCTCAGGGTGTAGGTGCTGGCTCAGGGTGTAGGTGCTGGCTCAGGGTGTAGGGTGTAGGTGCTGGCTCAGGGTGTAGGGTGTAGGTGCTGGCTCAGGGTGTAGGGTGTAGGTGCTGGCTCAGGGTGTAGGGTGTAGGTGCTGGCTCAGGGTGTAGGGTGTAGGTGCTGGCTCAGGGTGTGGGGTGTAGGTGCTGGCTCAGGGTGTGGGGTGTAGGTGCTGGCTCAGGGTGTGGGGTGTAGGTGCTGGCTCAGGGTGTGGGGTGTAGGTGCTGGCTCAGGGTGTGGGGTGTAGGTGCTGGCTCAGGGTGTAGGTGCTGGCTCAGGGTGTAGGTGCCGGCTCAGGGTGTAGGGTGTAGGTGCTGGCTCAGGGTGTGGGGTGTAGGTGCTGGCTCAGGGTGTAGGGTGTAGGTGCTGGCTCAGGGTGTGGGGTGTAGGTGCTGGCTCAGGGTGTAGGGTGTAGGTGCTGGCTCAGGGTGTGGGGTGTAGGCTCAGGGTGTAGGTGCCGGCTCAGGGTGGACACAGCACCGCCAGGCATCATCAGCTGGGTTTGGAGCATGGGCCCTGTGTGTGGTCCTTGTGCACAGCCTTGTCCTCTCCCAGCTTGTCCTGGCCTGAAAGGTGAGGCTTCCACCCATCCTGACAGGGCTTCCACCCCCATTCGTTCTCTTGGTGGTCGGGGAAGGGGGAAAGTCTGTCCTCCTAGGAGCACGGTTTAAATAGTGCAGCAAAAGCACGAGGTCCTGAGTTCAAACCCCAGTATTTGGGGGTTGGGGTGGGGAAAAATAAGGAAGGAAGGAAGGAAGGAAGGAAGGAAGGAAGGAAGGAAAGAAGGAAACCAGTCAGCCGTTGCTGGGCAGCCTGGGATCCCCGGCACCTCAATGCGAGCCCACCAGGCCTTCAGCGTGTCTGGCAGGGCCCCACCGGCTCTTTATGCGGCCAGGAGGCCCAGGAGAAAGGCAGGGACAGTGACAATGGGCCAGTGGCGGGAAACGGCCCTTAGAGATCCCATTGTGTGCCCCTCCTGCCGGATGCAGCCGAGCAGGACCCACAGTGGAGCTCCCACACCCGCGGCGCCTGGCCGCGTCTGCATGCCTGGCACGTCCGAAGGGCCTCTGGACAGAGGGGCCCGTTCTTCCCCAAGGGTGAGACCTGCCCGACGATGGCTCCGGGGCTCACGATGACCACAGAGGAAACGCACCCTGCTGGAGTGCGTCCCCTCCCCTGCCAAGGCCAGCTCGGGGTCTGAGGTGTCCGCTGTCCCTCGCCGGGGCCCGGTGAGGGACCACAGCCACCCCAGGCACCTTTTCCACTCCCACTCTGAGCCCCAGAAAGACTCAAGACAGGGAGGCCGACGGGAGCCGGCCAGAGCAGAGGTCAGGCTAGGGAGCATGGGAGGGACAGCAGAGAGAAGTCAATGCGGGGAGCCCAGTCCAAGCCTGGGCTTGACCCAAGAGACCAGGTCTGCGGGAGTCAGTATGAGCAATGTTCTTATTGGTGCCGCCTGTCAGCTCAGGACGCCTGTCAGCTGGTCCTGACAGCTGGACCTCCAGCCCCCCACCCTCCTGCCCCCTTGCCCAGGAAGGTCCCACTGGCGGTCCCCAGTCCCCTCAGTCCAGTTTCACCTCGCAGGGGTGGGTATGGGCAGCGTGGGCAGCAGCGTAGGCACGTCTGAACTCCTGGGAGCGGGGGGCACAGCCCAGCCAGGCCTGGCCAAAATGGCGCCAGCCCATGAAGAGGAAGGTGCCTGGGCCTGGGCGGACACCGCACTGCAGGGGGGTGTGAATGGAGGCCTGCCCCGGGCCCTCGGCGCTGCCCACTGGCAGCATCGGGCGGAGAACACGCGTGGGCACCACGGTGATGATGGACTCCTGAGACTCCGAGTCGTGGGTGACCCCGTGGATGGTCCCGTTGATCACTGCAGGGAGGTGCGGCGGCAAGGGTGAGGATGTGGAGGGAGAGGCGGGCCCCGGGCTCCCTCTGCTCAGGGGACACTCACGGAAGTCGCTGGTGCACGCCGCCAGGAGGAGCTCCGCGTCGCTGCAGGGTCTGCAGACACCTGTGGAGCAGGGCAGCACGTCAGCCCGTCTCTGCCTCACCCAGGAGCCTGCCCACCGCTCCTCTCAGCAGGAGCCCAAGGAGCAATGGAAACCAGACCCTTCTCCAAAGGGCTGCACCGCGTGTGTGCATGGCCGTGTGGGTCGGGGCCTGCCAGGCACCGACTTGGGGCTGCCTGTTTGGAGCTGGAGTGCCACGCTGCACTCTCGCATGCCCAGCTTACAACTGCACTCCAGTGCTGCGGCCTTCCTGAGCTGCCTCCTGGACCATAGAACAACAGCCGGGCAGGGCGGCAGGGGGGTGGGGGGGGGTCTGGCTGGCCCTGGTTCTAGGGTCCCCAGCCAGAGGTAGCATAGTGACGGTCCCATCTCCGGCAGGGTCAGGCTGGGAGATTCAGGAGAGCCAAGAGCTGGGCCTGCTGCCCTGCACGGGGGGCCGGCTGCTCCTGGTCTCCATGGTGATGAGGCACACTGGACTTTTGTTGGCTGGGCTGGGGGAGGGGAGTGAGGTCACCGCTAGGCCAGGGAGCCCTGGACAGCTTCAGCCACAGCTCTGATTCTGCGCCTCCCTCCCCTTCCCCAACCCTTCTGAGACCACAGCCCCCAGGCTGCCCTGCCGGGCCTACCTGTCTACATTTGCCACGTTTGTCCCCAAGCCTGCTCTTTCTCAAGCCTGCTCTTTCTCTAAGATGAGTTCTGGGTGGGAGGGAGAAGGGAAAGGGCACCCCAGCCGCCACCCTCTGACCTGGTGTGAGCTGCGTTCCTGGCCCCGCATGGCACTGACCAGATAGGCCTCCAGGCCTCAGAGTGCCGAGGCCCGTCTCTAGTTCAGTCATTTTGTCCCACGTGCACACAGATGCTTGTGCACACACGCACATGCATGCACACAGGCACACACTCGTGCAGATGCACACGCGCACACACAGGCATGCACCCGAGCACACACGCATACACAGGCACCCACCTGTGCACAGATGAACATGCATGCACACACAGGCACCCACCCGTGCACACGCACACGCATGCACACAGGCACACACCCGTGCACTCACTCACACACAGGCATGCACCTGTGCACAGATGCACACGTACGCACACGCGCACACACAGGCGTGCACCCGTGCACACACGCACACACAGGCACCCACCCGTGCACACGCACATGCATGCACACAGGCACACACCCGTGCACTCACGCACACGCACACACATGCACACAGGCACACACCCGTGCACTCACGCACACACAGGCATGCACCTGTGCACAGACGCACACGCGCACACACAGGCGTGCACACACGCACACACAGGCACCCACCCGTGCACACGCACATGCATGCACACAGGCACACACCCGTGCACTCACGCACACACACAGGCATGCACCTGTGCACAGACGCACACGCGCGCACACACAGGCACGCACCTATGCACAGATGCACGCGCGCGCACACACACAGAGGCACCCACCCGTGCACACGCACACGGGCACACACTTGTACACAGATGCACACGTGTGCACACACGCGTGCACACACAGGCACGCACCCGTGCACACACACAGGCATGCACCCATGCACACACGCACACACACAGGCACGCACCCATGCACACAAGACCCCGGTCAGGGTCAGCCCGACGCTCACCGTCCACGCCGAGGCCCTGGGCCCGCGGAGGCAGCTCCGGATGCTTGTCTGCTCGAAGCTCAAAGCGGAAGGCGGCCACGCGGCGGCTGATGTCGGGGTGAGGCGTGGCCTGCAGGAAGAGGTCCCGGCGCTGGCCGGGGCCCCAGCGCACGCACCGGCCCCCGGCCCGGCCCGGGCCCTCGGCCAGCAGCAGCTCCAGGGCGCCCCCGGGCCGCTCGGCGAAGACCTGCGCGCCCGCGAAGGGCCGCGCGGGGAGCAGGCAGGCGACGGTGGGCCGCGCGCCCAGCTCGGGGCCGCCCAGGGTCAGGTGCAGCGCCCCGGCCGGGTACAGCCACTCCACGGCGCCCTCGGCGCAGGCCAGGGCCAGGTGCCCGACGCTGCCCGGCTCCTGCGTCAAGCCGCTGGGGACGGGACGAGGCGCTGAGGCGGCGGCGGGCGGAGGCCTGCGCCCAGCCCCCGAGCCCCGGCCGGCTCGGCTGCCCCCAGCCCCCGAGCCCCGGCCGGCTCGGCTGCCCCCAGCCCCCGAGCCCCGGCCGGCTCGGCTGCCCCCAGCCCCCGAGCCCCGGCCGGCTCGGCTGCCCCCAGCCCCCGAGCCCCGGCTGGCGAGGCCTACGCCCAGCCCCCGAGCCCCGGCCGGCGAGGCCTGCCCCCGAGCCCCGGCCGGCGAGGCTGCCCCCAGCCCCCGAGCCCGCGCCGGCGAGGCTGCCCCCAGCCCCCGAGCCCCGGCCGGCGAGGCCTGCCCCCAGCCCCCGAGCCCCGGCCGGCGAGGCTGCCCCCAGCCCCCGAGCCCCGGCCGGCGAGGCTGCCCCCAGCCCCCGAGCCCCGGCCGGCGAGGCTGCCCCCAGCCCCCGAGCCCCGGCCGGCGAGGCTGCCCCCAGCCCCCGAGCCCCGGCCGGCGAGGCCTGCCCCCAGCCCCCGAGCCCCGGCCGGCGAGGCTGCCCCCAGCCCCCGAGCCCCGGCCGGCGAGGCTGCCCCCAGCCCCCAGCCCCCGAGCCCCGGCCGGCGAGGCCTGCCCCCAGCCCCCGAGCCCCCGAGCCCCGGCCGGCGAGGCCTGCGCCCAGCCCCCGAGCCCCGGCCGGCGAGGCTGCCCCCAGCCCCCGAGCCCCCGAGCCCCGGCCGGCGAGGCCTGCGCCCAGCCCCCGAGCCCCGGCCGGCGAGGCTGCCCCCAGCCCCCGAGCCCGCGCCCCTCGCCGCTCCCCCTCCCGCGCCCGCCCGGGCCTCTCGCCGCCCCCCCCCCGTCCCCCGCCTCACGGAGGCCCGCACCTGCCCCGCCAGCCGCAGCCGTCTTCCGAGTAGCCCGCGCGCGCGGACGCGGCCAGGAGGCCGCAGCAGAGGACGCGGAGCAGCGCCCCGGCCGGCATGGCGCAGGAACCCGCCCGCGCCTGGGCTCCGGGCTCGCGGGCGCTGCCCCAGGGCGGGGCGGGGCGGCGGGAGCTGCCCGGGGCGCCGCCGCCGGCCCCGCGCGTCCCCTCCGCCCCGACCGCTCCGCTCGGCCCCCGCCGCGCCAGGGCGGAGGACGGGCCGCCGCTCTCCAGCCAATGGCCGTCGCGGCCGGAACTTTCCGCCAATGGCAGCGGTGCCTGGGGCCTGCCCGGGGCGGGGCGAGGCGTGGGGCGGGGCCTGCCCGGGGCGGGGCGAGGCATGGGGCGGGGCCTGCGCGGGGTGGGGCGGGGCCTGCGCGGGGCGGGGATGTGCGTGGGGGCGGGGCCTGCGCGGGGCGGGGCTTGCCCGGGGCTCGGCGTGCCTGGGGCGGGGCTGTGCGTGGGGGCGGGGCGTGCCCAGGGCGGGGCGGGGCGTGCCCGGGGGCGGGGCGTGTCCGGGGGCGGGGCGGGGCCTGCGCGAGGTGGGGCGGGGCCTGCGCGAGGTGGGGCGGGGCCTGCGCGGGGCGGGGATGTGCGTGGGGGCGGGGCCTGCGCGGGGCGGGGCTTGCCCGGGGCGGGGCTGTGCGTGGGGGCGGGGCGTGCCCAGGGCGGGGCGGGGCGTGCCCGGGGGCGGGGCGTGTCCGGGGGCGGGGCGGGGCCTGCGCGAGGTGGGGCGGGGCCTGCGCGGGGTGGGGCGGGGCGTGCCCGGGGCGGGGCCTGCGCGGGGACGACCCCGGGCCCCAGCGGCTCCTCCTCGTCCGGCCGCTGTTGTCCCCCAGCCCTGGGGACGGGGGTGCGGAGAGGCGCGGGTGGCGCGGCGGGTGCTGTCCTCGTGGAAGACATCCAGGGAGGGGACTGACCTCCCCCCAGGGAGACGGCGCCCCGGGGCCGAGGGTCAGTGCCCTTCCCTCCGGAGGAGCGGGCGGGCGGGGGCGCGGGGCGCGGGGCGCGCGGGCGGGCGGGGGCGCGGGGCCCAGGGCGCGCGGCTGGGCGGCTCCGGCTCCGAGGGGAGCGGCCAGGGCCTCAGCTCCAGCCAGCTCCGTCCACGGGTGGCCGCGCGCGGGGCGGGCCCCGGCCGGAGCCTCGGGCCCCGCGATCCACACCGGCTGAGACTTGAGCCCGGAAGCCCCCAGGTCGGCGGCAGCCCGGAGCAGCGGGGACCGAACGCTCGCCCGGCCCAGAAGCCGGTCCTGGCTGACCAGGGGCCGGCCACCTGCAGGAGCCAGCGCCACCTACTGCGCCCAGCCCTTCCCGAAGCCAGCGCTCTGCCCTGGCCTGGGCCGCCCCAGACAGGAGGCCGGACAGCCCTACGGTGAGAGCCACCGGACCCCGCTGCCTGTCCAAGCGAGACGGTCCAGGACGCTCACAGATGCTCACGCACGTCCCCTTCACAGCCCAAGGGCCTCTCGGGCCAAGAATCAAAACAGTACCAAAATAGCCAGGACACAGAGGCAACCCGCAGTCCTGGGCAGGTGGAAGGATTACAGAGGGTGGTCTACTCACACAATGGGTTATTTAGCATAGAAAATAATGAACTCCGGCTGGGAAGGTGGCTCAGTGGTAGAGTGCTTGCCTTGCATGCTTGAGGGTCTGGGTTCGATTCCTCAGCACCACATAAAGCAGAAAATAAAAAGCCGGAAGTGGTGCTGTGGCTCAAGTGGTAGAGTGCTAGCCTTGAGCTGAAGAGCTGAGGGACAGCGCCCAGGCCCAGAGTTCAGGCCCCATGACCAGACCCCCTCAAAAAAAAATAATAATGAACTCACTGGGGGGCAGAGGTGTGCGGAAGGCCTGCAGGCAGGTGATTATTGAGATCCTTGCTAAAGTGAAATGAGCCGCTCACAAATGATAAAGACGATGTGAGGTCCTCCAGGAGGAGGACCCTAGAGCAATGACATCCACAGAGACAGGGAGTAAAATGAAATCCACAGGAATAGGAACTTTCGGTTACAGTTGAAGTTCCAAACTGACCGCTGGGGAAGAAGACCAGGAGTTAGGGTTTAAATCACTGATTTCAGTCTCGGGAGGTGAAAAACGCTTTAGAGCACGAGACCATGTGCTTACTCCTACTGAGCTATAAGAAAAAAGTTAAAATGGGCTGGAGATTTTGCTCGACGGAGCATATGCCTAGTGTGTGCAGGGCAGTGACTTCAGTCCCCAGAACACACTAACAGCAATAAGCGATAAAACAATCACAAAATATAAAGGGTCCATACCAGTAATCCTAGCTACTTAGGAGGCTGAGATCTGAGGGTCCTGGTTCAAAGCCAGCCCAGGCAGGGAAGTCTGTGAGCCACCAGAAAACCGGAAGTGAGCTGTGACTCCAAGTGGCAGAGCGCTTGCCTTGAACAGGGACAGTGCTCCGGCTTTGAGTTCAAACCCCGTGACCAGCAAAAATTAAACGAAAAGGAAGAGTGTCAGAGCCTGGTGGAAAACTATCAGGTGCTCAAGGCCCTCGAGCACACAGGTCAGCCCCCACAGCCCCGGGGCAGCGGGGCACGTGGGTCAGCCCCCACAGCCTTCCTGGCCAGGGCTGTGGGTGGTCAGCAGGGAAGTGGTCACCAGTCCACTGGGCAGGAGTGGGTTCTGGGCGCCCTCTGGTGGTGGTGAGGCATCACCTGGCAAGCCTCAGGCTCTGACCTCTCTGGGAGGAGTGTTAGGGTTCCCTGAAGACAGGCGCTGGTCCTGAGCTGTCTCCTGGATGCCAGGCCTGCCCTTCTCAGCTTACCTTTTAGCAGCTTCACAATGACACTGGTGCCACAAAGATCTGACAGATGTCACCTCTCACAGCTCTGCATGCCTGCGCGCCACACACCTGGACTCGAGTGCTCAGTCATTACGTGGGAAATGAATGAGCGGATGTCTGACAGCCCAGATCTCGAGCTTCCTGGCTGGCTAAGTTCAATTTGGGGGACCTAGCTCTGGGCTTCCCAATGCCATGATCCCCATTCCACCGGTGTCAGAGGAGAGCAGCAGAAGAGACTTGAGTAAGAAAAAGAAGAGTAGCCTTTGGGGGCCTGGTGTGCAGAAGGCTGCAGCCCCTCTGGGGGTGAGCAGAATGAGAATGGTTGTCTCCCCCCATCCCAAGACTGCTGGGCTCAGACTAACTGGAGGCGGACATCCCAAAGCCCCGTGACCCAAACAGGGCAGCTGGAGAGCCCATCCCGAGGTCCAGCTCCTGTGCTGGGCCTTGAAGGTCCCTCCAGTGCAGGCCTCCGATGCCATCGGGGGTGTGCCCTGGGGCTGCTCACCTCCAGGCTCGGCCCTTCCTCCTGCAGCTGGAGTTCTAGCAGGATGAGGTGCTGCGTCCACGGTGTTGGGTCCTGAGCAGGGCTGGGGCAGGCAGCTCAGGGGAGATAGTGGCAGGGAGGCAGCTAGTCCGAAGGGCAAGTTATGGTGCTGGGGCAGAAGCACTCCCAACCAAGTTAGAGGCTAGGCTAGCGGGAACTCCCAGGAGACACCACCAAGAGCCAGGGATGTTCATGGGAGACCCAGTGCTGAAGACCCCACATGGTAGAACTTTGAGTAAACCTGGACTACAAAAAGTAGATGGTGAGCCGGGCGCTGGTGGCTCACGCCTGTCATCCTAGCTACTCAGGAGGCTGAGATCTGAGGATTTTGGTTCAAAGCCAGCCCGAGGGCTGGGAAGGTGGCTCAGTGGTAGAGCGCTTGCTTTACATGCATGAGGCCCTGGGTTCAATTCCTCAGCACCACATAAGCACAAAAAGCCAGAAGTGGCGCTGGGGCTCAAATGTTAGAGCGCTAGCCTTGAGCTGAAGAGCAGAGGGACAGCGCCCAGGCCCAGAGTTCAGGCCCCATGACCGGACCCAAAAAAAAGGTAGCTGGTGGGTTGTGACCAGGCCCAATGGTCAAGGCTGAGTTTGGGCTCGATAGAACACGCCAGTAAAGAAGCAGAGAGTGCTCAGGTTCCCCCCTTGTCCAGGACCTCCCTACGCGGAACTCAGCGTCTACCAGCATCAGGTGAGCAGCAACGTGGGTGGCTGGTGGTCGTCCCGGCCGCATCCCTGAGCCCGTGGCACCTCCCACTGGCCACATCTGCTACTCAAGCTGGTCCGGAAGAGGCCAGAAGCCTGGGAAGGGGAAGGCGGGTCCTCCGCTAAGGACGGAGCCGCCAGGACGCTCCCAAGCACTGGCCTGGCCACCCTGCTGACTTGGCCTGTGGAGGCCTCAGGCAGGACATGGTCCTGGCTGTGACCTCCACGTGGCCTGCACTTCCTCCGGGTCCCTTCCCACTGCTCCTCCATCTCGGCCCCCGGGCCAAGGTTCCTACCTCTGCTCCTTTTGTCTCTTTGCCTAAGAAGCCCACCCCCACACCTTGTGTCTCTCAAGAAGCCCAAAATGCAGCTGCCGATTGATTTGCAGCTGAGCTAAAAATAGCTGCTGCTCCAGCCAGGGCTGGGAAAATATCCATTGCTAGGAGACGGCCGTTGCTAGGAGACCAGACCGCCATCACTAGGCTACGCGCGTTGCTGCGGTGACAGCTGGGCCCTGAGTCATCCTCAGCCTTGACAGGGGCAGGTCAGGCCGGAGCAAGGGCTGAGGGCGGCGGAAAGCCCCCTCGGCCGTGGTCAGCCGACCACACGCACAGCAGTGGACACCAGTTCTGGTGATGGACAGATCCAGGAAGCCAAACACTCAACCCGGTGTACCACCTGCTGCCCCAGGCTCTGCTCTGGGCAGCGGCAGGGTAGAGTGAGCAGTGGGCCCATCTGGCCCAGGATGAACCACTTTGGTCTTTCCTGTTTTTGCCAGTTGTGGGGCTGGAATACAGGGCCTGAGCGCCGTCCCTGAGCTCTTCAGCAAAAGGCAAGCGCTCTACACCTTGAGCCACAGCACCACTTCTGGCTTTTTCTGTGTATGTAGTACTAAGGAATTGAACCCAGGGCTTCATGCGTGCTAGACAAGTTCTTTACCACTGAGCCACCTTTCCAGCCCTGTTTTTATTATCTGTTGTTGTTACAAAGGGGTTTCAACAAATCTGTGTTGTTGGTTTTTTTGTTTGTTCCAGTTCTGGGGCCTGAACTCAGGGCCTGGGAGCTGTCCTTGAGCTTCTTT